GCAGGGTTTAGGGTATACGGGTATCAAGCCCTAAGCCCCCAAATCCACCACCCAGGCTGCCTAGCCAAGTGGCGATGGGTATGCTCGGCGGGCAGTACAGCTGCCGAGTCGATGGGCAGGCGTGGGCTGTGAGGAAGCCTGAGGTCGATTTCCATGGTGTAAAGGAAGGATCCATGCACCTCAATATACTGGGATAGCTCATATGTATGTATGTATGCATGTGTGTATGTATATATAGATAGATAGCTTAATATGTTTGTATGTGTATATATATATATATATATATATATATATATCTGTGTATATGGCTATACAGGAGGTACTTTCAAATTCCAGGACCAAGTATAGCCTGTTTCGGTACATGGCCCATGCGGTAAACAACGAAAGGAAACACGCGAAAGCTTATCCCAAGACCCAGCCACGCAACTCATGTGCTGCGGGTCATAGGGGAAACCGAGCATCAAGCGACATCGTGGCAGCGCGTACTTGCCTTAGCTGGAGAGCTTGGCATGGCCCCCCAAGGCGACATGCTCGGTGTTTGGCCAAGCTTGTGAACCACCCAGGACACGGGGTGTAGTTTGTATAGCGTTAATGATAATTTACTTATAGTTATAGCCTTAAGGCCCATAACTAAGTATCACTAGGAGCTACAGAGTTACTGTAGGGGTCGGAATAATTACTAAGAGTATTCCCTTATGGTCTTTATACTCAAATAACCCCCAGAACCCTGTTCTTATTATTAGGACTTCGAAAGGTGTCGTGTGGCTCCATTCATCGCAGTCTTCGCCACTGGGCGTCGGAAAGCAGACTTTGGCCGCGACGCGCTGGACGGAGCCAGAACACCTGGGAGCCAGAGGCTTATAGGTTCTTAGGGTTTATGTTTAAGACTAAGAGCTTCCAGGAGCTTGTATGGATGACACTTCTGGGTGACACCCAATACCATTAGGTCCTTCCATTCCCCCACCCCCCGAAAGCCCAAACCCTTGGGGCTTTACAGGGGCTTCAGGGTTTCGGGAACACCCTCACGCACCATTGGTCCCCCTTTGAAGGGAGCATCCGGGATTGAAACCCTCCTTTCGGGCTCTTGGGGGGCTGAACTGAACCCTAAACCCTCGCCCCAAAAGGTAGTAACGAAACATGCCGCAGCCCTACACACACACACACACACACACACACACACACACACACACACACACACACACACACACACACACACACACACACACACACACACACACACACACACACACACACACACACACACACACACACACACACCCCAAAGCTCAAAAACACTCCTTTTTACCTTCATAACCCTTGGGACTCTCCTCTCCTCCCCTTCAGAGTCGTTCCTTCGGGCATCGGCTTCTTTGCTTTCTGGTTCCAGGCCCTTTGGGTGCCTCTCCTCCCCCGTCTGGGCTCGTTCTGCTTCGGGCCCCCAGTTCTTTCCTTTCAGGTTCCACCTTTGACCGCCCTATATTAGGACGGACTTTCGTGCCGCCCTCAGAAGTAGGAGTTGGCCTTGCTGCACGTCCGGACGCGAGGGCACAGACCTCCTGTAACCCTTCAAGTCCAATTAATCGGCCCCAAAACCCAAAATCCTAAACCCTGAACCCTCAAACCTTATGAGCCCCTAAAACCCTGCAAGCCTTCAGAGACCCTTGGAATCCCATTCCTGGGCGCCCAAGTGGCTCGGCTGTGAGGCCACGAAACTCCTGGCCGCGATGGAGCGGAGTCGCCCCAAAGGTCTGCAAGAACTCCTCCGGGCTTCATCTGGCTCGTAGCAGGGAATGAGGGAATGAGGTACCCTATAGAATCCCTGTAAGTGTCCTACAGAATCCCTTAACGGGTATACATAGATACCCAATGTAATCCTTAAAGGGCGACCCCCTAGGGGGCCAAATTCCCTCATTCCCTGCTGCGAACCAGGGGGGTCTTGTTGGGGGGGGGGGGGGGTTTGGAGGGCTCAGGGAGCCCGGGGTGTATGACTAATGGGATAGGCCTGACATGGGGGCCATAGGGCTTGTAGTAGACTTATAGAGGGATAGTAGGGGGTTTATCCAGGGATTTTAGACTTACAGAGGGTTGAGAGGGTTTGCAGCGTTTGCAGGGTATTTTGCGGGGCAACTCTGAACCCCTACACCGCAAGGTTCGGTGGCTCCGACTCGGTTCCTGGCGCTCGTGAGACAGCGCCGCGTCTGTGACAATCACAGGGCTCCCACGCGGACAGAGCCTCTCTTCTGGGGGCTCTGGGGGTTCTAGCAACCCTAAATCCTAAACACTAATGGGCTAAGAGGTTTGGGGTTTTCTGAGTACAGGGCTTTGGAGTGTGAAGGCTTGGGTTCCAGTTATACTCCTAGGGTTTGGGGGTGACGATGCCCCGAAGTTGAGGTAAGGGTGTCAAGAGCTTCGCCACCAGCGATTGCAGTTCGGCATCTGGGGTCTCCTTTTGCAACCCTCAACCCCAAACCCTGTAATTGCGCCCATGGTGGTTTGCAACCCTAAACCCCCAAACCCTGTAATTGCACCCATACATGCTTCCCGTGCATACATGTTCCCATGGGTTCGCGGCTTAGGGATTCAGAGCTTCGGATCCAGGATTTGAGGGATTGTTTAGGGTGTGTAGGGTCTACCTGGGACTCTCTTTACTTACAGCTCTATGGGTCATACTGTACCTACTAGCTAAGGGGTAGCTAAAGCTACTACCAGTACAAACCTGTAGGTAAATAGAGTCCCAGGTAGGGTTTAGGCGTAGGAGTCTGGACTCCAAATTGGGCATATCCATGGGTTGTAGGACGTGATATGAAGTAGGGTCTAGATTCCTTGTACTGCGGACCGGAGGTCGTGAATCATATCAAGGTGAGACAGCTTAGATTTATTCCTTGCATCGCCCAAAGGACATCACCAATCTAAACAAGGAACCTTATATACACTCACCAATAACAGTAATATAAACCCTGTTTCATATGGAGTAACGGGCGCGCTTTGTCCCTTGCGATGACCCCAAAAGCACAATAAGACAGAACATGGGGAACTCCAAGATATGAGTACCCCTAGTTTATCGAACATTTCTGGGCCCTAAACCCTCTGAACTCCCTAAACTCCCTAAACCCCAAGTAGGTGGCCCCAGTTGGTCCCCCTAAACCCTCAAACCTCTGCAGGCCCAGACGCGGCCGCGATGCAAAGGTGAGGATGTTTGGATCGGAGGGGGGCAAGGAGGGCTCCACACCTGACGGGTTCTGATCTTCATGGGGTTCCCTAAGTTCCCTACTACCCCCCTCTCCATACTACCCCCCTGTAAATAACAAATAGCCTCAATTATGGGGAACCCAGGGGGGTTGTAGCATGGAGGGCGGCTCCACATGTTTAAGGTTTAGGGTTCCTAGAATTTCCAGGGCTTTAGGGTCTTTAGGGGTTTTTAGGGTTTGTAGGGTGTCTAGGGTTTAGAGGGTTTAGAGGGTTTAGGGTTGAGGGTGGGTGTACAAACCTTTCAAGGCTGTCGGCCATCTCGCAGGGAGGGCCCCCTGACCACTGCCAAACGACCCTAAACCCGAAACCCCAAACCCTGAATCTCAAACCCTAAACCCGAAACCCCAAACCCTAAAACCCTAAAACCCAGAATCCTAAACTCGAAACCCTAAAGCCTAAACCCGAAACCCTAACCCTAGACCCTAAAACCCTAAACCCTAAACCCTAAACCCTAAACCCTAGATCCTAAAACCCTAAACCCTAAATCCTAAACCCTAAACCCTGAACCCCAAACCCTAAACCTAAACCCCACCACTCGCACCGCGCCTGCGCAAGGTCGGCAGAGGAGCGGCACGCAGACCACGGACCCTGGCATGCTGCCTGCCACGTTTAGGATGTTAGAGGGTTTAGGGTTTAGGGTTTAGGGTTTAGTGTTTTATGGAGTTGTAGAGGGTGCTAGAGGGTTTTAAGGGCCTCCCACTTTTAGAATGTTAGGTTTTAGGGGGGGGGTTATGGGCTTTTTTTTGGGTTTGTAGAAGTTTAGGGTTTATAGGGTTTTATAGGGTTTTAAGAGTTTTAGGGTTTGAAGGCTTGAGGGTTCCACTGAGTCCAATCTGGGGCTTTTCGCGGGTTAGGGCTTGAAGGTTTAGGGTTTAGGGTTCAGGCTTCAGATTTCAGGCTCTTAGGGTTGTAAGGGTTTTAGGGTTTGAAGGTTTTGGAATTTAGGCAATCAGGTTCTGAAGGTTTAAGGCTTTGTAGGGTTCAGCGGTTTAAAGGTTGAGGGTTTAAGGGTTTACCTGGGACTCTATACAGTTTTATGGGTTATGCCTACTAAATGTAAGGGGTAGCCACAACTAAACTGTATACGGTAAATGGTCCCAGGTAGGGTTTCAGGATGTCAGGATGTAAGGTGCAATTCATGGGTTCTTAAGGGAGCAGGGTTCAAGGGGGGTAGGTACCTAGGGAAGCTAAGGGAAGCTTAGGGAGCCTTAGGGAGTAGTAGGGGAGTAGTAACCCTAAACCCTAAACCCTAAATCCTAAACCCGCCCCTAAGAACACTATAAGCCTAACCCAAAACCCTAAACCCTAAACCCTAAACCCCAAACCCTAAACCCTAAAGTCGCCTGGGCCCAGGCGGAAGCCCACCAGGCCGTCGGAGAGGCGCTGGGCTTCGGCTGCGCAACCCTCGAAGGCCTGCTCTGGGGCTAGGGTTTAGGGTTTAGGGTTGAGGGTTGAGGGTTGAGGGTTGAAGGTTGAGGGTTGAGGGTTGAAGGTTCTGAGGCTTTGAGCTTCTAGGGCGTTGGGGCTTTCAGGGTTTCCTGAAACCGAATTGAGGGTTGGGGTTTCTGGAGTGTAGGGTCGCTGCGGGTTTCGGGTTGAGGGGCTTGGGCTTGAAGTGTCAATGGGCTTGGAAGCTATATGCGTGGCTTTAACGTTTGAACTGGACTACAGGCAGAAGCCCTTGATCAAAAACGTTTTAGGGTTTAGGGTTTGAGGCTTGGGGTTTAGGATTTGGGGTTTGGGTTTTAGGGTCATGAAGCCTCCCGGCTCAGGTTCCGATTTTTTTGTTCGTTGGGCCAACTCGCTGGTGAACAGTTGGAACTCATCATCTCCTTGAAGTCTGTGATGTCGTGCTCCACGTAGCTCAAGCCCAATCTGTGAAGATAGGCGACTTCTGCTGTCTGCGACGCACCCAGGCCACTGCACGCGCGAACTTGCTCCCGCACCTCGCGGACAAAAAAGGGCAGCCGGAGTTAGGGTCCCGGGGTGCTCTAGCCTAAGATCAATATACAGATGACATGTAGTGCTCTGAAGTCCCTGCACCGAATCTGTATAGCCCCCCGCCCATGGCTTTTTGAAAGCCGGCCACGCGCCTCTTTGTCAGGGAGCTGGTCCCAGGCGACCTTGCCTTGGCCTTTGCAGCCCTCGAAGTAGAAGACGTGCAGCCTCTGACCCAGCTCGGACGCCTTGCTGACGTTCTTCCTCCACTCCTCGGAACTATAGTCTATGGCAGTATAACGGCTATGGCAAGTTGTAACGAGTCTTGAGCCTGTCTTAGCATAGCGATTGTGATACAACGTCGAGAGAATCCGAAAGGAACAGATGACATCCCCAGGCTCCTCGAACCAGCGGCAGCCCCAAGGGGCGCGGGCATGGTTTGCCAGGCACCGGTCCTCCGCGTCGTTGAGCGCCTGGGAAAGCTCCTGCTGCCACTCCAGCTCTGCCTGGAGGTCCTTGATGAGCAGCAGCTGCCCCATGGCTTCGGCGTCGGATTTCTTGAAGCTCAGCTGCTGCTGATAGCTGGCTTCGTCGTTTCCTTGCTCTTGCCGCAGCTGCTGGACATCCACCACGCTCAGGTACGTGGAGGCCGGCAGGCTTCCGTAGAGCGCATGGCACCAGCACCTCCCCGGATGATCGGGATCTGCCGAGTGCTCGCCAAGACCCGAGGCGCGGTCCGTCAGGAACACGCAGGCCAAGGAAAAGGCGCTTTGGGAGCTTGCGGCTGACACGGCGGCGTCCCACTCGTCGCTGTACTTCCCAGGGAAGGACACAATGCAGTCGCGGGCTGCCGCGTTCACCTTCCCCGGGAAGGCGATGCGTTTGGTGGATAAGCCGAAGCCCTGAAACTCCGCGAGCTTCTGGAAGGCCTCCATCGGCCGCGCCCACTGCTGCGGGCCGACCATGCCGCTAAGCAGCAGCACGTTCAGCACTTGTAGGCCGATGTCCACGGTCAGCAACACAGACCAGCGATCCTCTTGCGCGTTGCTTTCATTCACAGCAAAAAAAGCACCGCCGAAGATGCTAAGAAGAGGGCCCGGAATCAAGAGGGCAGCGTTGATGCACAAGCAAACGCCCGCGGCCTTGATGGCCGCATCGTGCCATCCCAGGCACAAGGATCTGCCCGCTGCATAGCAGAGGCCGCAGAATTGAAGGAGCAACGTGGCGCCAGTGCAAGCTAGTGCGACGAGTACAGGCAGTTGCCCCATCTCGGACTTCCATGCATCATTCCAGAACAGAAAGAATGGAAGGCCAATACACATTGCGCAAAGAATCACGAGCATGAGTGCTGCACAAAGCCGTGCTGTTATATGGAAGCCCAATGCATGCAGCTTTAGGTTTGTCATCTGCATCTGGACCCCGTTGCAGAGGACCTCCCACAGCAACATCAGAGCCTGGAATGCATGGCGGTCAGCCAAAGTTTCAGCGACAGAGGCATCGCAGTGGAACGATGCCAGGCAGAAGACTAGAAAACGAGCTCGTGTGTGGAGAGGTTCCTTGGCAGAGAAGCGATCTCTCCTGTGGAGGAAAATGTAAAGTCCGAGGCCAGTCACCAGAGGCCGCGCAATGGAATCACATAGTCTCCCAATGATTTCGCTGATGCAGTACGTATCACACCACGCAGCACCATCAGAATCACAATAATCCTTTTCGGCATGCGCATTATAGCACCACCCACCACGCATGCATGCGCCATAACACGCCGAACTTTGCAGCAGCAGCAGACGCACACTAGCCGTGATGCGCACCGCAGTGTACACAGCAATAGCCAGGTTGGTGTGACTCTGGTGCCTTGGGGCGGCGCCGTTGTCCAGGTCCCTGCTCGTCTCCGCGAGAACCGATCGTCTGCTCGCTCGAGGCCGTGGTGGCTGCTGGCTGGAAGCCGAAAGAGTCCGATGGCTGGGAATGAGGCTGTGCCGGTGCTCCCTGGGCTCTTCGGGAACCGAGAGTCTGCTTCGCAGGGGAAGTTCCACTTCTTGTGGAGTCGAGACTGCCACCGACATGGCGTGCCGAAGCAGAGGCTTGCAGTCGGCAACAAGATCTCAGATGCGTTCAGCTGAGTCGTGAATCATCTCAGTAACCTGTTCAGTCCTTCTGGCCGCGTGCACATATACATGTATGTGTTTGTGTAGTATATATATATATATAACCATCGGTCGTGGGCCGTGAGCCTGGGCAGTCGAGCAAGAGCATTTACATCGACGCACAGAGCTGATGGTGAGGTCTACGCCAGTGCATGTTGAAGCATGTCAATACCATCTTAAGGCCCAAAAATCTAGGCCCCAAACCCTGAACCCTAACTTCTAACGAATTTATTCTGCTGCATGGCTCTTGGATTTGGGGGGTCTCACCGCCCGCGCGCCGTGTTGTCAGACCACAGCTGCGGTGGCTCCATGTCACAGAGGCAGCCTCGGCGAGGGAGGGTTACTTTAGAGGGTTAGTTAGGTTTGGGGGTTCAAGGGCTTTTGGGTTTTAGTTGGCGTTTCTAATGGAGATTTCACACAGGCACCCTCGGTGCAAGGAGGGCTGGGAGGGATTTGGAGGGTTTCGCTACTGGGCGTTCATAGCCCTATACTTCCAGGGACCGAAATATTGGGTCCTTATGGGTTCTAACCTCACTACTTAAGAGCCGTTCTTGTGCGCAAGAAAGTGTTGCAGGCATATAGGGAGCGTGTTCAAAAGGGCCGCCCGAGCCCTTTGGTGGTTCTCGACTGCTGGCATAGCTGATATGGGTGCACAGACTGAGGACGTGTTAACCAGACGAGACCCACATAACGTCTGAAGCACTTTGGGGGCTTGGGGCCTCAGAGAGTGAATGGACCCCTGACCTGCTCCAGTCCAGGTGTAAGCAACCTCGAACCCCGAAACTCACACCTGACATTCCCTCAGGTGCAAACCCTCTCTCTCAACCCTGCCTGCGGTGAGGGTTCAGGGCTTAGGGAGGCATTCTCAAAAACAAGCCTTGGTGGAGAAAACTCTGCCGGCTGAGGCACTCGAGGCAGAGCTGGAGGTGTCAGGGCCGACCTCAAGCAAGCCACAGGGCATCCGGAAGCGTGCCCCACGCAGTGTGAAAGCTAGAAAGGTTCAGGAAGGTTAAGGGCCCAGATTACAGGCTGGCTATATAAGTGGGACCTCCGTAGCAAGCTCTTGCTGCAAAGGCCTTGCCAGAGCCGGAGCTCTAATGCGCTGCAATTCGAAGTGCTCTGGGCCTGCTTCGTGAGTTCGGGTCTCCATTGTGCTGAGCCGAGAGCCGAGAGCCCGAAAGATCAGCATGACTTGGTGGTAGTCAACCAGGGGTTTAGGGTTTATAGGGCTGAAAGTTTTCTTAGGGCTTACAGGCCTTGCAGCATTTTTGTAGGACTGAAAGGCCTGCGAGGTCGAGCTCTACGAAAGGCACGTAAGCTAGGACTCTCCTGACTCAGCGAAGGACGTACTGACATTGAGCTATGTGAGATGCCTATATAGCTTTAGGAGCTGGCAAATGACGAGCCATAAGGGCTCTCAGAAGACTGCAGAGCTCCTCCATATCGCCAAGCACATGGCCTTAAAGAAACAAAGCCATCCCACCTCAAAGCTTGAAGTACTTGTCGATTTATTGTGCCCGGGGGAGGGGGGGGGGTGGGGGAGGTGGGGGGGGTAATGAAACGCATATCAGTCACGTCATCCGGGCACCGAAGCAGCACAGCTCCAGCCCCCACCGCTGCCAGCGCAGCGCGGCGCATGCGGACAAGAGCTGCAAAGTGCAGAAGCTTGGATTTACTGGTTCAGGGTTACGAAGGTTTTGGGGTTAAAAGTTGGAAGGTTCTGGCGTTAGGGGTTAAGCTAAGACTGGTCCAGGATTATAGGGTTTAGGGTGTCTAACTAAGCCCATTGTAATAGCCCGAAACCGTATGATGTCACAGAACCCCAAAGCAGGTGTACTTTGGGTTCACTGGCTCGGGATTACGGAGATTTCGAAGAAGGTTGTATATAGGGCTTATGAGTAGGGGTGCTTAGGATACTCGCCACTGGATGCTGAGCTTCCGGCTTGACGGAGTCTCCAATACAAGGAGAGATGTCTGGAGCAGCTTGGGCAATCCGAGAATTCCTGATCGGATGCCTATTGCAACATGGGCGCTTAGATGTTGAGGGTACCACAAAAGGGTCCAGAAATTAGAACAACCCCTGTATCGTGCCAGGTAAAGTCAAGAGGCGTGTCTGCCTTACAAGCCCAGCCCACAGGGTCGATGTACCTAAATGGGGAATACTTCGGCCTTGAAGTACTTGCTATTTCGGGCCTTTGGGGCCCAAAGTAATCAGGTATGTGGACCCTAAGGGTAAACCCTAAAACCCTGGGTTTAGGGTTTAGGGGTCTTCAAGCTCATGAGCTTGTGATCGTTCATGAGGTATTCATAGGAGTGGATTTCAGGATACACCTGGATCCCCATAGCACCCATAATCATGGACAAAAACCTCGTAATTTGGCAGGCGAGGGCTTGTATAGGGTTTAGGTTTAGTGGTGGTCGTTCTTGGGTGAGTGGGAATCATTCAGGTGCCCCGTGTGGCGGAGACAAGGCACATTGAGGATTCGGATCTGCCCCTCAACAACCCCCCTGAAGCCTAAACCCTAAACCCCTGCCCTTACGCCCAGCCCCCCGATTTTCCGCGGCGGTGCCAAACGAGCTCTTTCCCTAAGGGTCCACCGGCAGGGGCCGAACTGTCATACTATTGAGGTACCTTTCATCCCCTTCAAAATTCTATGAATGGCTTCTCTTATATAATAAAGAAAATAGCTTGGGAACATCCCCCTTCTACTAACAGTCCTTGATGGGGGGCTATAGTAGCCCCTACGATAATCCCAATTAAGGACTGTTCGTATAAGGAAGAACATCCCAAAGAGTAGCACATGATTCCTCATCGGGGCAAAGATCCTGCGGAGGCCACCCGGAAGCCCTAAACCCTAAACCCTAAACCCTAAACCCTTAACCCTAGGGGCTTTGCGGACTGCGGGTTGGATGGTGTTCAGGGGTCTCAAGAATCACGGTGCCAGGGGCGGGTTAGGGTTTAGGAATTCGGGTTAGGGGTTTAGGAGCTCAGGGGGTTTCAAAAGAGCCGGAGTCGCTTTTTTGGGGCTCGGGGAGCTTTTGAAACCCTAAAACCCTAAGCCTCTGAACCCTAAACCCTAAACCCAGATCAGATTCCCTATGCCGGAGCCAATCATAAGCTCTAAAACGCCTAAGCCAATGAGTACGCAAGAGAAAGGGTGTGTCTTCATTTTGGGGTACACTGTCTCTTCGTGGTCATTTATGAAGCAAGGTTTCGAGGCTTCCGAAGTTCCTAATGCTCTAGGACCAGATCCCTGCCTGCGAGCCATATGGGGTCCCTAAACCCTAAACCCTAAACCCTAAACCCTAAACCCTAAACCCTAAACCCCAAACCCCAAACCCCCAAACCCTAAACCCTCTGTGTACAACCTGCAGGATGGGCCGACAGGCTCTGCAGGTCGCTTTTGCGGAGCCTGCCGAGGCTGGCAAGAGCTTTGTGGCTTGGAGGTTATAGGGTTGAGTGTAGCTATTGAAGCTTAGGCCGTTGGGGTTTAGGGTTTCAAAGGCTCAAGTTGCAGATCTTCAAATAGCCCCGCACCTGCGTCGAACAGATCCAGCAAATTGAGCTAGCAACTTTGCCAGGGTGAAGCTCGCAAAATCCCCAACCTCCCTGAGCCCTGAAGCAAAGCCGACGGTTCCCACCCTTTTTGTCGCAAGGCTGTCGAGTTCTAGGAGTTCAGGGATAAAGAAAGCGTGCAGCTGCGGGGCCCCCGGCCTGGCAGAAGATCTGTGAAAGAAGATGAAGGGTCTAGGGCTGGACCTGCGCGTTGGAAGGCTGACTCGAACTCCAACTGGCTGCTGAACTCTTGGCAGTCATCATCTCCTTGAAGTCTGTGATGTCGTGCTCCACGTAGCTCAAGCCCAACCTGTGCAGGTAGGCGACTTCTGCCGTCTGCGAGGCCCCCAGGCCACTGCAAGCGCGCACTTGCTCCCTCACCTTCGGGACAAAGGGCAGCCAGATTTAGAAGAGGGTCCGGTGGGCGCTCGAGCCTTAAGATCAATACACCGGAGGAGTACCCGCGTAGTGCTCAGGAATACCTGCGCCGAATCTATATATAAGGACCCCACCCCTCCCCCCCCCCACCCCCGTGTTAAGAACTGCGGCCGCCTCTTCGTCTGGGAGCTGGTTCCAGGCAACCTTTCCTTGGCCTTTGCGCCCCTGGAAGTAGAAGACGTGCCGCCTCTGACCGAGCTCGGAGGCCTTGCTGACGTTCTTCCTCCACTCCTGGGAACCGCATCGCAGGAGAACCCGTATGCAAAATGCACCAAGCGATATAGCTCGAGCACTTACAAGAATAATGGCTCTAGTATTTCGCAAACTGTTGTCTTCGGGGTGTCCTGGCAACCTATAACGAAAACTCACCAGAACAGATGTCATCCCAGGCTCCTCAAACCAGCGGCAGCCCCAAGGGGCCCGGGCTTGGTTTTCCAGGCTCAGGATGCGGCGGAGCCGCCGCAGCCAGGCTCTCTCTTGCCGATGGCCAGGTAGAGCAGATGCGAGTTCGGGCCCTTGGTCTTCGTGCAGGTCTCTTTGACGCAGACCAGCCAGTGCTTAAGGGTCAAGAAGTCGAGCTTGATGTACACACCGGCAAGCGTCTTGGGGGATCCGATGTGGTTCACAAGCCACTTCACGTCATCCGTGCTGATGGCGAGGCCAAACTTCATGAGGATCTCGTCGATCCACATCTCGATGAGGGCGAGCGTGAAGGAGCCTCCACCACCCAGGATGTCTGCAACCGCCGCGCCGAGAAGTTCGCCCAGGTCCTCGATTGAGAACTCCTTCCCGAACTTCACCGTCTCGTACTTGCAGAGAAGCTCATCTTTGGCCCCACCGTTGCCGGTGTTGCAGAACCCGCGCCGTCGCCTGGAAGAAAAACAGTTGGCCGCATCGGAGATTTGGCCCCAGTCTTCATCCATGGCTTTACCGAGGTCCTCGGAGGCCTCGAGGGACTCCTGCTGCCGTTCAGGTCACACTGACGATTACCAGCCTTCTCAGCACATGCGGGAGGTTTACGACAATAAGGGAATTTGCAAGAGTTCCCAGATAATAGGATTCCCTTATGATAAGGGACCCCAATAAGGTACACCTCATTTCGGAAGGCCCCCCCCCCGCCCCATGTGGGAGAGGAGTCATGATCAAAACTGGCCTTCGTGCCCTTGATTTGCAAGAACTCCAAGCTGCAGTCACCCGTCGAGTTGCAGGCATCATCAACCGCCATCGCGCTGCCAATGTCCTCTCCGCCGAGTCGCGAAGCAACAAACGGCATGCATCCATGACCCACTCCAGGACAAGTGACAGTACATGAAGACACTGAACCCTAAAACCCTCAAACCTAAACAAACCCTGAAACCCCCTCGAAACTATCACCACAGCAACGGCTTCAGGGCTGCAGCACTGCAGGTCCTCGCCCCTTCCGGTGATCGCCACTGCCACAAGGAGCCACGCCAAGGCACTGGCTGCCATTGAACCCATCCCACACAGACGTTGCCCGCTGCGTGGGACACTCGGCTGTGGAGGCAGAAATGCTCGGAACTCGGGAGAGCCGAAAAAGGCTGGCAAGGAATGGCGCCTCACAGAAACCGCGGACTTACCTGCAGCCCATGTAGCACTTACGCCCCTACGCTTTGGGCTGCGGACCAATGCCCGAGTTGCACATCCGTGAACCCTAAACCCTATAAACCCTAAAAAAACCCTAAACTGAGCACTCTGGCTCTGCACACGGTGCTGCCCGCGAAGAGCCGAAAACCCCCAACCTGTGGCCCCCAAACTCTACTGAGCAAAAGAGTCCTGGCTCTATCGCTTCCGCGCTCACAAGGCCATTTCAACGACAATCCCCCATGTCCCTACAAAACCCTAATCCCTAATTACACCCGAAACCCAAAACCCTAAAACCTAAACCCGAAACCCTAAACCCTAAACCGAACTGCTTGGGCACCGGAGCAGCACAGCTCCAGCACCAGCCCAGTGCCAGCACAGCACGGCGCATGTGGAGAGATGCAAAGTCCAGAAAGCTTGGGGTTTCGGCTTTTTAGGGTTTAGCGTTGAGGGGTTAAAGGGATTCCGAGTTAGAGTGGTCTTAGAAGGCATAGGGCTCAGGGTCGGGGCGGGCCCCAGGGAACCCTATACCAAACGACAATGCAGTCACCTTGGGATTCATTGTGGCAAGGTCTCCTTGAGGAGGCTCATCCAAGGAGAGCCGAGGCGTGATACAGAATCAGTTTGCGGCAGAGGGCTGCATAGACTGGGCGCTGACCATTATCCTTAGCTTACATCACTACTATTCTATTTTTATCATTATGTTTCCGGGGCCTGATATATTTACGGTCCTCATATTTACGGCGCCTCACAAGGCCATAATACTTGCAATGGCCCGTGTGTTGTTGTGCCACCATGAGCCAGGCTGCGAGTCTTTCATCGGCGGCACTGGTAGTTGACTTGTAGCGCCCTTCGCCCTGCAGTAAACTCCAGAAAGTTGGAACCGGATGGTTAGAGCTGGAATTCCCTCTAGTATACCTTTTGGGGTCTAGGGAGCAGGATGTTCCACCTTTTTGGAGTCTCCTGCTTATAGCCCCTAAGTGCTGGCCTCTCCAGTCACTCCCTCCAAGGCGTGACCATTGGAGGGTTGAGGGTTTAGGGTTTAGGGTTCAGGGTTCAGGGCTTCCAAAGGGCTTGACCTGGACGCACAGGGTACCCATTCTCATGGAGGAGAACCCAGACTCGAACCCGGATTAGATGCAGGATTCCAGCATGCCTGAGTTGGAGGTCTAGCAGGGCTTATACACCATGCAATGCAGGTTTAGGCAGTTTAGGCTTCAGTGTTGTGGTTCCTGGGTGAAGATATGTTACGACTCACTTGGGTTGGTTGAGGATTCAGATCCCTCGTCGACATCCCTAAAAGGCCCTGAGCCCTAACCACCAAGCCCCAAACTCAAGGCACACCCCACACACCTGAAGCTCGATGTGTGGCGGCAGTGTCAACCGAGCTCTGTCCCAAAGGGTCCACCGGAAGGGGCCCCCAAGTATAAGAGGTGCCTTTCCTCCCCTTCGAACTCACTCAAGAATGTCTTTATAATTTCTATGTGTTAAAGAAAAATAAAACGGTGAGATGATTCCTCGCGGGGGCGATGGGTCATGGACCCTTAGGGTTTCCTACGAGGCCGCCCTTGCAAAGATCCGGCAGAGGCTATGCGGAAACTGCTCCTGGAGGGGTTTCAGGGCTTTGGGGGATATACAAGGTTTACATAGGGGTTAGGGTCTTAGGGGTTCAGGGGTTTCAGGGCTTCAAGGTTCTGTATGAAAGCTGCGCCCTGCACTGTGGACCTTGACCTTGGGGGTGGCCCAACTTCTAAAGCCAAGGCAACTATACAGCTTGTTCAGGGTTATAGGGCTCACCTAGAGTCACCTCTCAGACTACAAAAGGAACTGTGTGCCCTCACGTTAGGGTATTTTATTTCGTTGACCACTTCTTTAGGTAACGTGTCGTTCTGAGGGAAATTCTTTACTTAGGCTTTGGGCTCTGCGGCCGGATCCGAGCCCGCGAACCCATGGGGTCTATGTACAATCTGCAGCGTGGACCCAAGCTCTGCAGGCCACTCAGTCAGGTCACTCGAGAACCTGCCGGGGCTGGCTAGGAGATTAGGGGTTTAGACAGGTGGCACGCTGCACCGGCCGGAAGGGTTTTGGATTTATCAGGCTTATTGGGTTGAGGGCTTTAGCGGTTTAATTTTCAAGGTTGCAGGTTTATGGTTTAAGGTTCAGGTTTCCCCCGTGGCCCCTGCCAGACGAAGCTCCGAGTACGGCAGGAATGGGACCTAGCTCGCAAAACCCAAATAACCTCAACCCCATCACAACCCTTGCATCCCTAAACCCTAACCTCAACTCTCAACACCAAATTCTAAACCCTAAACCGGGGTGTCAGCTGCTCAGCGCTTCAGCCGACGGTTTGGGCTTTTGGATGGAAAGTTCGGGGCTTAGGTTCGGGTATAGGGTTTATAAGGTTATAGGGTTCAGGATTTAGGGGCTTAGGATGGGACATTTGGGATTTCCCTGCGCTTTGGGCCTGGAGCTCAGGGTCCAAGTGTTCAGGGTTCGTAGGGCGTAGGGTTTAGGGTTTAGGGTCGAGGGTTTAGGGTTCACGTGTTCAGGGTTCGTAGGGTTTAGGGTTTAGGGTTCATAGGGTTTAGGCTTTAGGGTTTAGGGTTTGGGGTTTGGGGTTTGGGGTTTGGGGTTTTTGGGGTCGGGTTTAGGGCTTCTTAAAGCGCTTCAGGGGTCTAAAGGTCTAGGATTCAGTTCGAGCCCAGGGTCTCGAATTGACTTGGCTCCCTATATGGGGGCTTCGTCGGTCTTGGGTTTAGGGTTTGTAGGGTTTATATAGGGTTTATATAGGGTTTATAGGGTTTATTCGGGTCTTGGGCTAGGATCAGCGGCATTTGAGTTCCTTGAGCTGGCGAAGCCCGGAATCGGAAGGAAGAAGCTTCAGGCAGGGAAATCTACGGATACATGAAACCCTAAACTACCCGTCCGTGAACCCCTGAAGATTCAGGCTAGCATGATTCTGCAGAGTCTAGGTGTCCAGGTGGGCGCGCTTCGTGGCGCCTTGAGAGCTTCGTTTCCTCTGGCCCCTTTGAAGCTCTACACCCTGCACCCTTCAGATCCCTACAGACCCTGAGACCTATGCCCTTGAGATCCCTCACAGGCCATAAACCGTACACCCTGAAGATGAGCACTTTGGAGCCAATACGAGCTCGCTTTTCGGTCCCGAAACACGGCTGAGCGCAGATTGGCAAGGGAATCGTACGAAGTGAGCAGTGTGAAAGGACCCCAGGTGAGCACACCGGATCACGCCACAGTTATTTCGCAGGGCTGTCCTCAGATCTCAATGCATCGGCCTCGGCATGCCGCCCGAGCTCCCTCAGTAAGTCAGCGAGGTTGCGCTGAGCTTCCAGAGTGTCAGGGTGAGTGGGCCCCAAAACCTGCTGCTGAGCAGCCAGCACCTCTCTGTGCACATTCAGGGCTTCAGCATGCCGCCCAAGCGCTTTCAGTAAAACGGCTTGCTTGCCCTGAATCCACAGAGTGTCAGGGTGAGTGGGCCCGAGGGTTTGCTGCCGATGAGCCAGCACCTCTGTCAGCACATCCAGGGCTTCAGCATGCTGCCCAAGTTTGCTCAGTGAAACAGCTAGGTTGCCCTGAGTCCACAAAACATCAGGGTGATTGGGCCCCAGGACCTGCTGCTGAGCAGCCAGAACCTCTTTCTCTATGTCCAAGGCTTCAGCATGCCGCCCCAGTTCGCGCATTGAAACAGCGACACTGTTCTGAGTCTTGAGAGTATGAGGGTGAGTGGACCCCAGTTTTTGCTGCTGAACCTCCAGCACCTTCGTCAGCACATCCAGGGCTTCAGCATGCCGCCCGAGCTCTCTCAGTGAAACAGCGAGGTTGCGCTGAGTCCACAGAGTGTCAGGGTGAGTGGGCCCCAGGGTTTGCTGCTGAGCAGCCAGCACCTCTCTCCACACCTCCAGTGCTTCATCATTCAGCCCCAGGTCGCTCAGCGAATCTGCGAGCCTGCACCGAGCATCCAAAGCAGAACTGCTACGGCTACCCAGCACAGCGCCGCAAACAGTGCACTTCAAGCGGTAGTACATCACCTCCGCCTGGTAGGAGTCCCCGAAGCGCCCTTCGCGCTGCAATACTGCCGAGCGTAGCACAATGCACAGCGACGCCTTCAGCACAGCGATGGCGATGAAGACCGACTGCGTAAGTGAGCCCCCTTCCGTCAGCACGAAGAGGGACTGCAGCACCGCTTGGGGGATGTCTTCAGAGATGGCCACTGCAAGCTTCCCGGGCGAGGTCTGCTGTGAGAGTATGCTTTCGCGAGGGTGCCGGAACCACGCTCTGAGCGCTGCTGCACGGGCTGGAAAGAGTCCTGTGGCAAGCTCTTTGGGGTAGTGCCTCCACATGTATGCGTTGGAGAGGAAGAGAATGCAGACGGCCACAACGGCCATGATGCCGGCAGGCCAGGTCCTCCGGGACAAGCATCCAACCTATGCCTATACCACGTCATGCGACTTCGCTGCATCATTCCAGATGGGTGGCCCAACACCTACGTGGCACTACATGGCAGCCCCACAGAAACCAAGACCTACCAACATGAACACCAAGGCTCCTCTGCGACAGGGCCAAGCCCACGAAGATCCAGTCCTTGAAGGAGTCCAGCTGCTCACCAAGGACGGGGAGGACGGGCATCACGACTTCCGGCCCGAACCAAGGGACCCGGGCCTCTGTAGGCAGGGCAACCGCGAAGTATAGGCTCTGCAACATGGAGATGTTGAGCATGAAGAACATCCAGCCAGTCCAAATTTCCCAACAGAGCCCGCTTCGAATCTGCACATGTCCCGTCGCCCCTGCCCAAACCGCAAGGGCCGCGCACAGCACATGGAAACCGACCACTTGAAGCCTCGTCTGCGGCTCCGTGCCCTCTTCGGTTTCAGTTTCACCCTCTTTGGTTGCGTGGCTTGTGCGGACTGACTGCAATTTCGCGTAAGCCGGTGCGGGAGCAGCGTCTCTCTGCACGCCCCGGTGACGCACCCCATCCTGGATCCATCTGATGCCTCGCCCCAGTGCCGTGAGGAGCATTGCGGTCAGGAAGCTGGCTAGGATTCCGAAAAATATCACCGAGAGGTAATACTGCAAGCGTGTCCTTTGCTCGCTTTCGGTCAGGTGCGCACCACAGGCATCTGGCAGAATTGCCCCTGGCATGGCCACCCATTGGACATGGCATTGCATCAACCGCTGCCAGTGACGGGGCAGCGACACGTGCAGCATCCCGCGCAAGTGGGGCACGATTCTCCCCAAGAGCGCCGTTGCCGCCCCGGAGCCCATCACGGCAGCCGGCAGCGCGACGAAGGCCGGCACCACCCAGGTCAGCAGCCAAGGGGCCCATCGGCCTGCGAGATCCTGCGGCGTGCAGCACAAGTAGAACGCGAAATGGAGGGAGAGCGCCATTCCAGCGTACGCACCAACAGCCAGACCGAAGCTCACCACCCATCTCGTTGGGACGAGGGTCTCCCAGTGTCCGGAGCAGCTCAAGCCTTCGAACATGTTCGGCACTGGGTACTGGCCGGGACTTTCGGCGGCCTTCGGCAGTGACTTCTGAAGCTTTCTGACCTGGAGGCCTGGGGCGATCGCCGGCCAGGATCTTAGCCAGAGGAGAGCGAGTCCAGCGACGACAGCCAGGGCGCATCGCATCACACTAGCCATAGCTGTTGGTATAAATACTAGATAAGACATTAAGACCGTCCAACTGATCGTGAATGTTTCGTAATGTACTTTAAAGTGCTTAAAGACACAACCTCAAGACTCTCACTCGTGCAGCGCAGCGGCGCCCTCGTGAACGCCCCAAACCTCAAACCCAACCTAGATACCCAACCCCTTGCAAGTCTCCAAGATGCCAACTGCCCCAACGAGGTACCTTTAGGGTTTAGGATTTGGGTTTAGGCCTATCAAGTGGTACTTACGGTAGCCTCAGCTGTTGTAACACTATGTTGCAGTAGAGCTTGGGCTTTAGAACAACGCGCAGCTTATGGCAATGAGACTTCAGGTTCCGGCAGCTTCGGGGCATGTACTGGCTGATATGGGGCTTTAGGGTTTAACGGTTCAGGGCCCTTTGGCATTTGGCAGTTTAGGGGTTTGTTGATATTTGCTGCTTTTGGACGCTTCAATTGGGCTAAGCCCCGGGGTGTGTGTGAGCTGAATGCAGCCTTAACGCCAACCTCGGCATCTCAAGCCTTATGAACACAAACGCCACTAAGCCCCGCACAGCCGAAGAACATCTCAGAAACACACAGCCCTAAGCTTTATAAACCCTGAACCCTCAAACAAAAACGGTACCAAGCTTGCAGCTTGCAGCCCTGGCCCAGAAACCCCAAAAAACCTGCAATGCAAACCCCCACAACTGTTTAGGGTCAAGGGCCCGGGGCTCCTTACAACCCTAAGCCCTGATTAAGCCCACTGAAGCCCTAAGCCCCGAAACAACCCCCCCCCCCTCCCTAACTCTGCAACTGCAGGCACCAGAACATCGGAGATGCGTTGCGCTTCTGCTGCACAGCTCTCGACGCCCTGCACTTGGGGCTTCCGGGCTCGATAAGTCCTTATAAGATGCTAAAAGGCTTTGGAGCTCGAGGGTTTTGGGGGCTTTTGAGGGCCTTGGGGGGTTGAGGGATTGCAACCGGGTTTTGGGTTCAAGGGCTTGGAGTTCTCAGGGCTTTCAGGGCTTCGTGCTGCGAAAGGGAGCTGCAAGGCTTGTATGGGCTCTCAGATTGAATGCCAGGCACCAGAGGGCTCGGGGCAACAGCGGAACACTTAATGTTGCACTGTCTTTAGGATTTCCCCCCCCCCCCCCCCCCCACCCCACCCCCCCCCCCCCCCCCCCCCCCCGCCCCAAACAAATTTGGACCCTCTATAAACGAATGGGCGGGACCCCCCCCCCCCCCCCCCCAAACAAATTGGGGAAGGGGGGGAACCGCCAAGGCCTGAAACTTTCCAGCCTTTAAGATTCCTGGAGCCCAAGGCCTCAGGGCCTCAAGCCTTACTGCGTAAGCCCTTAACCCTAAACACAAACCCTTCAACAAAAGTCATCCGAAAAAAACTTGGTATTATGGAGGGTAGCCAGACAAACTTGCTAAAGACAGTCTGACCGGCCCGTGGACTACTTATCACAAAATGTGTTTGGGGCCTCGTTTCGGAATGAAATTCCATATGGAAACTAGCCGGGCTTAGATTTCTGGATTCTCCGCGCTCTGGCTCTTTAAGATTCCTGGGCCTCAAGCCTTACCGCGTAAGCCCTTAACCCAAAACACAAACCCTCAAAAAAAAGTCCTGAAAAAACATGTGATAATAGACAGTACCCTGAACAAACTCGGTTTGCAGAATAGATTTTCGAAACTTGTGATTATGGACCCTCCTTATTTAAAGTCAGTCCAACATTAGCAAGACTGAAGGCAACAGCACTGCGTAGCCGCTACATTGGGCATACACCAGGAGAACAACTTCAACCGCTTGGGGCCTCCAGGCTGAGGTTCCGATTTCTTGCGTTAGGCCGTTGGGCTGTTGAGTGGGAGCACGCTGCTGCGGGGCCACTGCATGGCGGAAGACCTGTGAAAGAAGATGACAGGTCTAGGGCTGGACCTGCGCGTTGGAAGGCTGACTCGAGCTCCAAGTGGCTGCTGAAGTCTTTCCAGTCATCATCTCCTTGAAGTCTGTGATGTCGTGCTCCACGTAGCTCAGGCCCAATCGGTGAAGGTAGGCGACTTCTGCCGTCTGGGAGGCACCCAGGCCACTGCAAGCGCGCACTTGCTCCCTCACCTTCGGGACCAGAGGGAAGTCGGAGCTAGGGCTTCACGAGCACATGGATAGTGTCCGAAGGATTACCATGTAGGGACCCATATCCGTATAAGACACCTCTCCTCCTCCCCCCCCCCCCCCCCCCCCCCCCACCTCAAGTATTAGTAGGGTCCCATCCGTATAAGAAACCTCTCCTCCCCCCCTCCCCCCCCCTCCCCTCCCCTCAAGTATTTGGAATGCGGCCGCGCCTCTTTGTCAGAGAGCTGGTCCCAGGCGACCTTGCCTCGGCCCTTGCAGCCCTCGAAGTAGAAGACGTGCAGGCTCTGACCCAGCTCGGAGGCCTTGCTGACGTTCCTCCTCCACTCCTCGGAGGCACATCACAAAAGCACGCGCATGTAACACAAACAACGAGGAATTAGTGTTAGTTGCGAAACCAGAAATGAAAAACACAAGCAGGCAGTTTACAACTCTACACAACATGTAGAAATGTTTCAGCACATCTGTCATAGCAAGTGGTCTTCCTGACTTTTGTGGTCTTGTTTTTCAAGTGCAAGTCTGACCGGAACAGATGACATCCCCAGGCTCCTCGAACCAGCGGCAGCCCCAAGGGGCGCGGGCATGGTTTGCCAGGCACCGGGCCTCCGCGTCGTTGAGCGCCTGGGAAAGCTCCTGCTTCCACTCCATTTCCGCCTTTAGGTCCTTGATGAGGAGCAGCTGCCCCATGGCCTCGGCGTCGGATTTCTTGAAGCTCAGCTGCTGCTGGTAGGCGGTTTCGTCGTTCCCATGCTCCTGCCGCAGCTGCTGGACGTCCACCACGCTCAGGTACGTGGAGGCCGGCAGGCTGCCGTACAATGCATGGCACCAGCACCTCCCCGGATGATCGGGATCCTCCGAGTGCTCGCCAAGACCTGAGGCACGGTCCGTCAGGAACACGCAGGCCAAGGAGAAGGCGTTTTGAGAGCTTGCGGCGGCCGACACGGCGGCGTCCCACTCCTCGCTGTACTTCCCGGGGAAGGACACAATGCAGTCGCGGGCTGCCGCGTTCACCTTCCCCGGGAAGGTGATGCGTTTCGTGGATGATAAGCCGAAGCCGTGAAACTCCGCGAGTTTCTGGAAGGCCTCCATCGGCCGTGCCCACCTCTGCGGGCCGACCATGCCGCTCAGCAGCAGCACGTTCAGCACTTGCAGGCTGATGTCCAGAGTCAGCATCCAAGGGCGTCCTGCAAGAGGACTAACAAGCGGAGCCACAAAGAAATAGAAGCCTGCAGCGCTAAGAAGAGGTCCCGGGATCAAGAGGGCAGCGTTGATGCACAAGCAGGCCGCCCCAGCCTTGATTGCCGCGTCGTGCCATCCCAGACACAACGATCGGACGGCTGCATGGCAGAGGCCACAGAATTGAAGGAGCAAGGCGGCGCCAGTGCAAGATATGCCTAAAAAAAAACGAGGGCCACATCATCTGCGATAACCACGTATGTTTCGAGAACACGAAAAATGGAAGGTCAACGGCAATCGCGCCGAGCACCACAAGCATCAGTGCCGCACAAAGTCTTGCGGTGATATGAAAGCCCAATGCATGCAGCTTTAGGTTTGTCATCTGCATCTGGATCGCGTTGCAGAGGAGCTCCCACAACAACAGCAAAGCTGGGAATGCAGAGCGGTGAAACAAAGTCACAGCGACAGAGGCATCGCAGTGGAACGATGCCAGGCAGAAGACCAGAAAGCGAGCTCGTGTGTGCAGCGGTTCATTGGCAGAGAAGCGATCGCTCCTTTGAAGGAAAACATAAATTCCTAGACCAGTCACCAGAGGGCGCACAACGGAGTCAAATATCCTTCCACTAATTAGCGGGCACATTACTTCTTCACGAAAAGCTTTACCGCAAGCGCTGTCACGCAGGCAACGTTCATAACACGCCGAATGTGCCTGCAGAAGCAGAAGCACGCTGGCTGTGATGCGCGCCACAGTGTAGGCGGCAACAGCCACTTTGCAACGCTGATGCTTCGGGGCTGCGCTTTTCTCCAGGTCCTTGCTCGTCTCTGCAAGAACCGATCGTCTGCTCGCGCGAGGCCGTAGTGGCTGCTGGCTGGAAGCCGGAAGAGTCTGGCTGCTGGTAATAAGCCTCTGCTGGTGCTCCCCAGGCTCTTCGGGAACAGAGAGTCTGGCTCGCAGAGGAAGCTCCACTTCCTGTGGAGTGGAGGCTCCCGCCGACATGGTGTGCAGAAACACTTCTATGACAGGCTCTCAGATGAAACATGGGTAACATGTCCAGTCCTTTTGGCCTAAGTATTATATATATATATGTAGATAAGAAGCGGTCTTGGGCCGTGCGCCGCAGCTAGCAGTACAGCTCCAACACTAACAGCTGCCAGCGTAGCACGCCGCATGCAGAGAGCTGCGAAGTCTACAGGCTTGGATTTGGCTTTAGGGTTTTGAGGCTTTAGGCGTTTCAGGGTTTAGGTTTGGAGGGTTTAGGAGGTTCAGGGTTTAGGGCCGGAGGGTTTGGGTGGTTTAGGGTTCGAGAAGATTCTAGCCTACAAAGCGACATAGAAAAATCACCCCTGGATTCTTTGTGGGCCCCTGGAAGGAGTCTTCTGCAGAACCCGTAGCCTGGAGGTTAGCTAGGAATCCTATAAGGGGCTTTATAAGAAGAACCTACAAAACAGTAGGTTCTGGGTTCTTAAGGAGGGGATGCCCCTGAACAGCTGCAGCATGATACTTGCAAGCTCAGGCAAAGTACGGGAGATTGCTGCACAGATTGGGCAAGTGGCAGCTGGTGAAAAACCAGGTTTTCGGGTTTAAGTTATTCAGGCCAGGAGCCCCTTAGGGTGTGCTGTCCGGCGGAGACAGGCATTGCGGGTACATTACTAAGCCCTAAACCCTAAACCCTAAGCCCTGAAGTCCTAAAACCCCTCAAAGCCTAGGCATCAGCCCAACCCCACACCACGCCTGAAGGGCGATTTTCGGCGGCAGAGCTCTCTTTCCCTAACATTCCACCGAAGGGCCCAAGTACAAAACTCATGAGGATGAGGTAGCTTGCCCCTCTTCGAACATACTTAAGACTGTTGTAAGATGCCCCTTGGGAATTATACATATATACATACATACATACATACATACATACATACATACATACATACATACATACATACATACATACATACATACATATATACATATATACATATATACATATATACATATTATACATATATATATATATATGTGAAATACAGCTTGATTCCTTAAGGGGGCGAGAGGTCAGGGACCCCGAACATTTTCTACAAGGCCGCCCGGGCAAAGATCCGACCGAGACCACCCAGAGACTGTGGAGGGGCTTTGCGGACGGTGGGTTCGATGAGGTTTAGGGTTTAGGGTTTGGGGTTTAGGGTTTAGGGTTTGGGGTTTAGGGTTTAGGGTTTAGGGGTTTGGGGTTTAGGGTGTAGGATTTAGGGTACCAGGACTTCAGGTTTAGGGGCTTGGGGGGTGTTTAGGGGATAACAAGGTTTACAAGGTTTAGGGGTTAGGGCCTCAGCGGTTCAAGTTTTCGAGGGGTATCGGGGCATAAGGTCCCTCCTCTGAAGCATACTCCACGTAATCTTACACCCGATTAGAAACCCCAATGCAACCGCAGGCTGTTTGGGGGTTTGAAGCCCACCTAGACCATGGAAGTACACTAGAGAAAGGTGCCTCCATGCTTGGGTAGCTTTATTAGGTTGTTGACCATTTATTTCGGCAAGGAAAGGTTAGCTCAGAAGGAAGGTCGTAATTAGGCCTGGGTTTCCTGACCCTAAAGGCAACTCATAACTCTGCGGCCGGATCCGAGCCCGTGGAGCCCGTGGGGTCTGTGTACAACCTGCAGTGTGGACCCAAGCTCTGCAGGTCACTCGAGAACCTGCCGAGGCTGGCTACGAGATAAGGGATTTGTGAAGGGTTTAGGGGATTAGGGGTTCAGGGTTTAGGCTGCTCAGGCTGGCAGACGTTGAGGCTTCGAGTTTACTCACTGCTTCTTGGGAATGACGGAATGAGGTACCCCTACATTATCCCTTAAAGGGGAAAATGACTGTTTGAGGTTTCGGGTTTAGGCTATTGGGATTGCGGGTTTTTGGCCTTTGGTGATTAAAGTGGGTGATAAGAAGTCATACAAGTTTCAGAGAATTGCCAGAGCCTAGCTGGCCACGCAGATCTTCACGTGGCGAAACACCCGGTGTCAAACAGCTCCAAGGTTAAACCTAGAATCCAAAATGCCTGAACCCTGAACCCTACAGCCCCAAATCAACCCTAGACTCCCGAAGGCCTGAACCCTAAACCCTAAACCCTGAAGCCCCCAAACCTACACCCATCCCCACGTCGCTGCCTGTCAACGCTCCGCCAGCGAAGCCAGACCGAAGGTGCTCAAGCGGAGGCTCCACCTAACTACAATGCCCTGAGTTTGCAACCAGGGCTTAGGGGTCAGGATTTTCAGGTCTGAGGTTTAGGGAAGACGACCAAATCCCGAATACCAAAAAGAGGTGTTGCGGAGATTTGCTGCTTGAGGGTTCAGGGCTATAGGTTCAAGGGCTGAGGCTCAGATCCCAGGACGCCCCAACACACAACGCAACATCCTGAGCCCGTAACCCCCCCCCCCCTATACTCCCACATGTGCAGAAAGCCCTACAGCCCAAACCCCCAAATCCGAAGAAGACCCAAAACCTAAACCCCAGACCCCTAAACCCTCAACCCCAAAACCCAAAACAGTAAACCCCCGAAACCGTAATCTCCCTGAACCCTAAACCCCCCAAAACCCTAAACACCCGAAACCCTCAACCCCCCAAAACCCCAAACCCGCAAAACAAAAACTAAACCCCGAAAACCCTTTGAACCCCTGTAGCCCCCAAACCCTAAAACCCTAAACCCTGAAACCCCTAAACGCCGCTAAGCCGAAGTCCTCTCCAACAGCCTGGACCCCAAACCCCAGCACTCTAAACCTAAACCCCAAAACCCTAAACCCGAAACCCCAAACCCTAGACCCTAAACCCTAAACCCCTGAACCCCTAAACCCTAAACCCCATGAAGAAGGAGTCCTCTCCGACAGCCCGGGTCTTCCGGCCCGGCCCCGCAGAAGTTGAAGGGTGAGTTGCCCCCCCGGCACCTTCGGGGGGTTTAGGGTTTAGGGTTTAGTGTTTAGGGTTTAGGGTTTAGGGTTTAGGGGTTTAGGACTTTAGGGTTCAAGGTTTAGAGAAAAAGGTTAGGGTTTGAGGTTTTGAGCCTTAGAACAAGGTGTAGTAGGCTTCAGGTTTGGGGATTGTAGGGGGTTAAGCGTGTGGGGTGTTAGTGGTTTGGGGTTTGGTTCTTCAGATGGGGATCGAGCTGAGGCTCTCACGCCTCTTTGCTTGGCCTAAACCACAAACTTAACTAATTATAAGCCCCAAACTAAACCCTAAACCCTAAATGTCGTAACACCTGAGCACAAACTCTAAAATTAAGCCAAAAACCCCCAAAAAACTTGGGGGGCACTCGTGGTCCGGGCTCACGCAGTGCTGGCTGCTGGCACCACACCTGAGACAGCTCCGGGGGTTCGGGTTCAGGATTGGGGCTTGTAGGGTATACAAGCTAAGGTTTGTCTGGGGGGTTGTCGTGTAGTTTCAAGTAGGGGCGATAGCATATCTATATAAAAAAAAAACGGGACCCCTAGACCTCAACAGCTGACGCTGAGTCAGGGGCCACATTCCGGCAGAGCAGCACCAGAACTTGTTGACCTGCTTCCCGAAACCCTAACGCCCGACAAGGAAGGGTTCCTAAGATTCCCATGGGGCAGTGGACTAAAGTTTAACCTTTGGATTGTTAGGAGGAATTCTACTACCCCAGAAGGGTGCAAGGTTACTACAACTCAGCTACTGCTGACCAAGAACCCTCACGCTAAGCTCTGAACCCTATAATCTATAAACCCTAAATGGCCCGGCCCGGTTCCCCAACCCAACAAGCTCGGCGAATAAACAAAATGCACCTTTTGTTGCTTGAAAAGGGAAATACAACAAGCCCTAGGCCCGCAGAGGAGGAAGAAATCGGGCATCCTGGAATCCTGGGCGACCACCCTAAACCCCAAACCCTAAACCCCAAACCGTAAACCCCAAACCCGAAGCCTAAACCCCAAAACCCTAAACCCCAAACCCCAAACCCTAAACCCCAAACCCCACACCCAAAACCCTCTAAACGGGCCGGTGGGGACAGCGCAGTCCGCGGCCAGACGGTTTCCGAAAGCCGCCCCGCAACCTGGAGAGGCCAGACAGGGTTTAGGGTTTAGGGTTTCGGGTTTCGGGTTCAGGGTTTAGGGTTTCGGGTTTTGGGTTTAGGGCTTAGGGTTTCGGGTTTCGGATTTAGGGTTTAGGGTTTATAGGGTTTAGGGCTTAGGGGGGGTTTGGGAGGGGTCAGCATGCATGCAAGCCTACCCGCAGATGGATCTCTATTGAGGTATACATAAACATATACTGTATGTGTATGTAAACATGTGTATATATGTATATGTATGTATACCTATTGGTATTTCTGGTGATGTATACATGTATACCCTATACTCAGCCCTAAACCCTCCTCACCGCAAATCAATTCAAGCCGAGCTGCGCTGTTCTGGCAATGTGGAGTCGACCTGACCTCGAGCAGGCTGGTGGGTTTAGGGTTTAGGGTTTAGGGCTTCGGGCTTAGGGCTTAGGGCTTGGGGCTTGGGGTCCAGGATTTATAAGGTTTAGGGTGCAGCGTTCTTTAAAGTTTGGCTTAGGGCTGAGGGCTTGGGGCTACGGCCTGGGGCTTATATAGGGTTTAGGGCGCAGTCAGGCTGTGCCATGGTTTTTCGCATGAAGCAACCCAGGAACCATTTGGGATATGGTTTATTGGGTTTATAAGGTATATAGTTATATAGTTTTCATGGAATGCACAGGTTTTTTTCTGCGGTGTTATAGGGTTTATAGGTGTGCAGGGTGTATAGGTTTCCTGGCTGAGGTTTGAGGGGCTGTGGCTAGGCTAGGACATTGCCATGAAAAACACTAGCGTAGGCTGCCCAGTAAGGTAAGCCAACAACAAGAATGCGTAAGGGATCCGGTTCCAGGATGGGAACCCAGGGGTCGAACTAAGACCTAGAGTATAGGAGGGAAGCTTTGGGCTTAGGGGTTCGGGCTTAGGGCTTAGGGTTTTAGGGGTTAGGCTTTAGGGTTTATAGGGCTTGAGGAAGTTGAGGAAGT